GTTCTTCCCTCAGAAGGCATTTGTAGAATTCTACTGCCTTTTTCTCTTGTCATTTCCTAGCATGCCATTACATTGGTCACCTTTAGCTAAAAGAGAGGCGCAAGTTTTGCAATTCCAGTTACATGGATTTTGAAATAAGAATGTATTGTTATTGAGGCTTGAAAACTACTGAAACTATGGTTTGGACAATTATTGCTGCAAAAAAAAAATTTTTTGGTGGGGGGAGACAGAGTCTTGCTATTTTGTTCAGGCTGGCCTTAAACTCACATGATCCTCCTGCCTCAGCTTCCCACGTGCTGTGATTATGAGCATGTATGACCATGCCTGTAAGTTTTTTGTTTTTTTTTTTTTGTATGGGGATCAAACTTGGGACCTTGGGCTTGCAAAGCAGGTGGCGGAACCACTGGGCTAAATTCCCGGCCCAACCACGCCTGCAATTTTGTGGACCTCACTTTAACATACTGAGAGAAAATTTATTCTACGTAGTTCAGGCTAGACTTGAACTAGTGATTCTCCTGCCTTGATTACAGGCCAGCACAGCACCTGGCTTCACTTTAATGCAACTTCTAGCAGAATAAGAAATACAGAAAAGCAGCCTGACGCGCTTCTTATTCAAATGTTAAGTCATTGTGGTGAATGGTCAGCCTGGAACGCCCTGCTGATCCGAGTCAACGTGGCTCTGGGCCTGGAAGACATGAGGATTGTTGCCAATGGCATTTAAAAAAAAAGTGAAGGGGAAGATTGTATGCTGTTGATTTTCGTAGAGAACCTCACCACAGCTGATTTTTCTGATGGGAACTCGGCTGTTCTCAGCAACAGAGGAGCTTAGATCCTTGCCATCGCCAGCTGCCTGCTATTCTTGTCAGGGGAGCTCTGGCCTTCCCCCTGAGCTTCCTGGCTCGGTGCAGATGCCTCAGCCTGGTGGCACAAATCCTTCACCCTGCCAGTGCAGGCTTTCTAAATGCCACCACTGGCCTTGGGCCTTCTTGGTGCAGATCCTCGATACAGAGAAGCATGACACACTGCTGTGGGCTCTAGGCCGCTGGCTGGACTCATGGAGGACATGGTTGTGGACTCCAAGCATGCAGCTGGGTTCAGGTCTCTAGTGCATGGACAGATCTGACTTTTTCGGTGAATTTTATAAAACAATCCTAGAAATTATGTGTTCCTTATTAAATCTGTTTCTTTGTAAACCCTGACTATAGCAGCCATCAAAAAGGAATTTACAAACTGGGCTTCTGTAGCCCCAGCACTGGGCGGTGGATGCAGGAGAATCAAACATTCAAGTCCAGGCTGGACAATTCAGCAAGATCCTGTCTCGCATGCATCAGGGTACATAGCTCAGTGTGAATGCTCTGGGTTCAATTCCTGGTACCGAGAGAGAAAAAAAAAAGACCAAGTTCCAACTCTAACTGGTGCTGACTTGCAATTCTGAGCTTAATTTATCAGAAACATTGAGTCTGCAGCACAAGCTAATTACCAAGCGATTCCATTTTTGGAATATAATCAAGGAAGATGCTTCTTCAGAAATTTTAAATCTTGGTCCTAAACTCAGCAAGTTCCAGTAAGACTTAGAAAGGGGCTAAAGGTGTGGGGAAAGTGGGAAGGATAGGGGAAAGCTAATGAGGGAAAAGAAAAAAATATGAGAAAATGAAAAAATGGAAATGCAGTGTTTGTAAAGGGGGAGGGGAGGAGGGGCTGAAGGGAGGGCAGGGACAAGGGAAAAAATGACAACCAAGACCTGTCATGTAAAGGTACAAGATCCCAATAATGAATGTAACTGTACTGTATACCTAAAATGTACCAATGAACTCATGGGGGAAAAAAAAGACTTATAACTGCTAAACTATCCAACTGCCAAACACCTTACACTTTTACAAAACAATCCATCCCAGGAACCACATCTTCACTGGCAGCTGTAGCAAGTCTTGGCAGATTCCAGATACTTTTTTTCAACCCTCAGCGTATTTTTCTTCTAACTACTCCACATACATTACCAATAGAAGCCAAATCTTCAGTCATCTTGAGGGCAACAGACTGTCTCAATCCGGGACTGGGGACGTTCCCAGAATATGTGACTTTGTTTTAAAACTAGAAAAGCTCCAGGCAAACTCAGATGAGCTGGTCATTCTGTCACTGGGTTGGCAATGATTCCCTGAATAATTTCAATTGAGAGTATCGGCTAATGCTGGTTAACTCCTTTACAGCCGAGGAAAAACATTTTAAATCACTAGCCTTATTTTAACATCTGACTGCTGATGCTGTTTCCTTAACTCTTCAACTGTGCACCTTTAAGGCTAAGGGTCTTTAAGATTTTTCTCTGGTTGTATTTCTTCACCTGTTACAATCAAACACAATTATCTTGGCAACAGTAACTGGCTTTCCTGGATTGGCTAACAAGCCACTTGTAAGCTTACTTTCAGTTACAACTAAAGCAATGGGTACTGCAGAAGTTAGGTGTGGTGTGCACACCTGTAATTCTAGTACTCAAGGATGAGGCAAGGGGATCACTGCACATTTGAGGCCAGCCTGAATTAGTGAAAGCTTGTCTCAAAACAAAGATCAAAGCCGGACATAGTGACACACACATGTAATCCCAGCACCGGGGAGGCTGAGGCAGGAGGACTGCTATTTGAGACCAGCCTGGGCTAGTGAGTTCCAGGTCAGTCTCAATCAACTACATAGTGAGACCATCTCAAAAAAACAAAACAAAACACCAAAAAAACACAAAACACCAAAAAAGCCAACCAAAAAACTCCAAAACAGAAAGAAACTAGGTACTGAGATATCCTACCTTACACAGCTAACCCTTGTGTGGCTTTCTGGTGCGTTTTGTTACGATGAATGGACTGGTAGTGGTGACATATATTTTTCTAGCACAGGTGGAGTCACTGCAAAATAAACACAATGCCTTCCCTAATAAAATATTCTCATAGTTCCATGATGTGACAGTTAATCATGACTGTAAGCCTGCCATCAGTGAGGCACATTTCCGGGTGGTCACCTGAGGTGCACCTGGCCCCCAGCCCTATCCTCTGCTCCTCCCTTGTGCTCTGCCTTTTGGACGCCAGGGAAGAGCGGCTCCGTCCTGCCACATCTTACCATGGTTTCTGCCTCAGAGACAGCTGAGAGAACTGTTAACTTTTCCGACTGCAAGCGAAAGCAAACCCTTCTTCCTTTAGGTTGTGGGTGTCAGGTATTTTGTCCCAGCAATGGGAAAGCTGACCAATACACAACACATGTCACACAAGTGTGTAAAAATGTAATGCACACTGTGGCAGTGCTAGGCAGAAAGAACCCCACATAGTCTGGTCTGTTACGGCTGAGCTCTTGCAGCACAAAGGCAGCCACGGACAGTACGTATGCAGGAGGGAGAGCAGGCTAATACACCTTGATTTAAGGACACTAAAATCTGAGGCCCCTCATTTTTCATGTCATATTTCTCCCCCACATAAAAGATGGAGAAACACAGGTAGCTGGTTGGACTCAGTGGCTTTCAGCAGCATGATGTTCTGACTACAGGAATCTGGAATGACCTAACATCCCCAGAGGAAGGACAGCATTCTGCAGCACAGCCATCAAACAAGCCAGCTGCCTTGGTCCCGAAGAACAGCCCTTATGAAAATGAGCTCTTGGCATTTACACTACCCGAAAATTTTCATGTTTCACTGCAATTTCCAGTCACAATAAACAGCTATACATGGTCACCCTACTCCAAATGTTAGCAATGAAGAAAACCCCTTCTTAAACCTTGAACTTCGTTCATCTCCTATTTACACAAATTTATTCGTTCTTTTTTTGTGGTTCTGGATATTGAACCCTGGGCTTTCACACTGGGGTACATCCCTAGCCGTCATTATTATTCTGACAGGGTCTCGCTAAGTTGCCCAGGCTGGGCTCTAACTTACGATCATCCTGCCTCAGCTTCCCAGAATGCTGGGACTACAGGCATGTGACTAAAAGATGTAAGCAAACCACTACACTGTTTATCCAATAATTTCCCACTCCCATCTTATGCCACTTGCAAAACATCTGGCTCTAGCTGAACATGGTCAGTGGGTTCCCTTCTTTTGTCTTCTGTAGTCTTCACTTGATACAGACCTGCATTAATTTTTAAAAACCAGGAACAGGAAAAGTAAGCTATCATCCCATAGCATTAGTATTATCTCCATTATAAAAAGATGCATTTTGAGGCTGGAGGTGTTACTCAGTGATAGAATGCTTACCCAGAATGTGGAAGGCCCTGGGTTGTACCAGCAGCAGTCCCAAACTAAAAGCATTTTTGTGTAGCTCTGGTCACAGACTACTTACTGAAAACCTTTCGAAAATATTGTTAGCTGAGTGGTTTCTACTCCAAATTGCAGCCTTTCTCCTCCTACTGAACCTGAAAGTCACATTTATGCCATTTTGGTGTTTTTTCCTCAAGTTTCGACAGTATTAAAAGGGAAACAGTTGTTCTCCATTCCTTCAAATACAAATTGAAATCTTGCATCCAGAATGAGTCTATTCTAGAGGCTTATCTGGTATCTATATATACTCAAAACTAATTTGGTTTTACATTTTGTATCAGAACTACTACAGCATCTCATCATATCACAGATTTTAACAAATACTTACAAAAAAATGCTTGATGGTGATTGGTGTATTTTGACAAATCTGGATTAGCTAGTACAAAAGCACATTTCAAGGGAACAAGAAATTTACAGAGGAGAAGAAATCTGCTATATTTTACCAAGGCTCCTAAATCCTCCTTGCATACAAATGTAGAAAAAGCTGACTTGTTGATTGAATCTTTGAGCACTATTCCACATGATGAGTGATGGAAAATGGGAATTACACATTCATTCTAAGCCACCAAAAACTAATTGTAACATTGGTAAAAAGGAGTCATTTCTGAATCTGCATTGACACTTAGATTGCCTTAAATCTCCTGGAGAACTTCAGCCACCAAAAGTCAAAAGTAGCCTTTATGGGTTAAGTACGCATGACAACCATGCAGATGGTCAAGCAAGACTGGTAAACTTTATTTGCTGGTGGCAAAAGGACACAACACTTCAGTACTTCAACTTGCAGTTAACAGTGACATTTAGGGAGGATAAACTAAGAGGAGCTAAAAAGAATTCTCAACATAAAAGTAGGAGACCAGGACAAAGGCACTGTGAGCCCACCCACTGAAGGCTTCGATGTACCCCGGATCTCAGCAAGGGCAGATGAGCCAAAAATACTCACTGCTTTCCTTCTCGACCTGGAGCCAGTATGTTTTTCTCCTGAATGTCTTGTTAATGGTTGATTTGGTTGTTAAATAGTGTGATATAGTAGTCAGCCCTTACAACAACAAATCAAAATTTCTTGTAATATGCTGCACACAATACATTCAGAATCACTGCGTGCTTTTTCTTCGCTTTTGTTTTTTCTTCCCTGAACGAATTGGTGTGGGAGTCTCTGGTGTTTGCTTTACACTGGATACAGGCTGTTTGAAGACAATTTCATCATCTTTATCATCGTTCATTCCAGCCACTTCAGATTTTCGTTTCTCCAAAAATGTTGGTGTACAAACTGGTGTGGTGCTCTGGAATCAACCAGCAGAGGATTAGATCACACAAATGTGGCACAGTATCAGGAATGACTTTACACCACAGTATCATCTCCTTCCTATTTTTACAAGTTGTCCTGTGTAATTTTAGGCCCACTTCAGCCTTTTGGTGACACAATTTCAGATAAATATTACCAAATTTAGTATGGAAATTCATTAACTGGAATGTTTAATTATAAGGTTTTAAGTAGAAAACTGCTGAATTACTAGTTAAGTGTAGCTCAAATGTCACAATATTAAATTTGAAATCTTAAAATGACAATGGTGCGAACCTTTTTTTTGCTTTAAATGATTTCTATAACACCCAGTGCCCAGGATATTAAGACTATTTTACCTGGCTATCCCCAGTCTTATCAGGGGTGACAAGAGAGCCTTTTGAAACCCTTTTCCTCTTCTTCTTAGGTATGGCTGAAGCCTTTTTCTTTTTTGCGGAAGTCTCTTTTTTGTCTGGAACCTCTTTTTTCTTAGTAGATGAAACCTTGAAATAAATTTAAGACTTTAACAATTTCCATAGTCATTAACTACAGTAGTCTTGATTATATTCCTCCTCCACTTTTTTCAGTGCTGATGATTAAACCCAGGTTTCATCCATGCTAAACCATTAGCTTTTCTGGAAATAAGCTTATAGTTTCTATGAAGCCCAAAAACAATCTCAAGATTTAATTAAGGAATAAGACCTTTTCCTATCTTAACACCTTGAAAGATCTGCACTCGTGTTAATAGTAAAAAAGTGTGTCATAAAAAGGATCAATTTAATGTCCTGATATTTACTGATAGCGTACAGTAAACCAAACATTATTTAATTCTGGAAATGCCACCTTTAAATGGTAATCTAACAGCATCATGCTTTTAGCTAAACAGTGGCTTGATTTGAGCAACTTAAAAACAGTTACTAAAAGTTACTTTCTTCTTTATAATGGAAATGATAATAATATCATCTTTTAAGTTGTTTGGTTTTTTTTTTTTTTGGTACTGGGGATTGAACTCGGGTCTTTGCCCTTGCAAGGCAGCTGGCGGCACCACTGAGCTAAATCCCCAGGCCTCATCTTTTAAGTTTTTAGTAAGAACCCTCAACGAAGTGTTTCAAAAACTTAGTCAAAAACCTCATATTTAGGGCTGGAGTGCAGCCCAGCAGCAGAGAACGTGCTTAGCAGGCGACAGGCCCTGGGTTTGCTCTATAGCAATGCAAAGCCCCACTGCCAACCCAATGTGTAACAAGCACTGGCTACTTTGCAAATAATCATAAAAGTACAGATGTATGTTTTAACTAGCCTGGTACAAAGCTCACAGGTTAAGAAAAAACACCCAAAACTTTCATGACGAAATATTTACCAATGAAGGAAAGTCATAATCAATTCCTTTTGCAATTAATTTCTTCCTTAATAATTTTTCTTTCCTTTTAAATCGATCTTCCATCCGCAACTTTTGTAGAAGTGTCCGCTTATGATTATAACGTTTCACTGCTGGGTATATTGGATGATGAAATGGAACTTGCCAGCCTTTAAAAAGATCTTTATGTACCTTTTCAGGTGGCATAAAATGACCTATTTTTAAAAAGTAAAAGGTTTTAACCAAAGGCTAAGAAAATATTTTTTAATGTTAACTTTACATTTCCCCACGCCATTTCTCGTATCATAATCAAAATGTGATTTATCTCACATTAGAGCAACAGAGCAGCCAATTCTAACCTAATGGAGCTATCAGTTCATACTTTTGAGAAGCGGCAACAGATCTCAGTTCAGAGCCTTCAGGTATTTTCCACAAGTCAGACAGCATACAGCACTGACCTGGCTTATATGAGTGGACACTTTTCAGGCCGCCTTGCCCAGCATTTCCTCCTGGCAAGAGCACCACCCCCATACCAGTAAAGGAGTTTGAACCCAGGGCCTTGGCTTACTAAGTATCTACCACTAAGCTTCATCCTCTGCCCTTTAAAAAACATTTTTTTTTCTTTTTGAGATGGGGGTTTCACTAAATTGCTGCCCAGGGTGGGTGTTGAACTTGTGATCCTCTTGCCACAGCCTGCTGAGTAGCTGGGATTACAGATGTGGATCACTGTGCGGTGCTAACAGTCATGACTTCAATGTGAGAAGGAACCCATGCCAAGTGTCTCCCACAGCAATGGGAATGGGATGCTCTGGCAGCCCCATCAGCCTGTGAACCTGGCCCCTGGGGCCCTGCAAGGGCAGTCAGTGAAGAGCTGGAGTCAGTGGCTCCACTTGCTAATTTCTGATCTGATGGTGCTGCTCTACTCTCATGGCTTACCCTGCGCAGAAAATCTGCAGCCAGCATCACTAAGACTGATTCTGCAAGGTGGTCCTTACCTTTGAAGCTACCCTACCTAGATCCCATTAACAGGCTCTCCTCTGCTTTGTCGTTTTCTGAGACAGAGTCTTGTTATGTAACTCAGGTTGGCCTTGAGTTTCACAGTAATCCTCCACTTCAGCCTTATGAGTGCGAGTGGTGGGCTCACCTTCAGGATGAATTCTAAGTTCCCTCGCTGGAGCCCTTCAGTAATCTGATGCTGCTTCTTCACTCCCGTGCTGCTCCGCACATTCCCTCACAGCCAGCTACCTCTGGTTTGGCATCTGCTGTCCCCCCTCAGCCACAGCCAGATTCATCTCCATCTTCACTCCCACCCCTTCCACCTCACCCACTCCTATGACATCTTCAGGTTTCTAGGGAAATGATTCTCCCTCAGGAAAGCTCTCCAAAGCCTGCTAAGGATGGGCTGTTCTTCCCTCACATCCCCAAAGAAACTTGTCCAACTGTATCTCAGTGTAAAAACAGCTACATACTGGAAGATTGAAAAATTCCAATTAGTTTGAGCTGGGCATAGTAGCACATGCCTGCAGTCCCAGCTCTCAAAACATTGACGCAGGCCTGTAAGCCTAGTGCTCAGGAGGTTGAGGCTGGAGGATCACTACAAGTTCAAGGCCAGAATGAACTACATAGTGAGACCCTAGCTGCCACCTCCAGACACACGCGCCAAAAAAAGGGCCAAGCCAGGATTGCCAATTCCAGGCCAGCCTACGATAGGTCAGCATGGAACCAACCCAAAATTCCAGTTAGAATCTTTCTGAAAAACATATCGATTCTTGCACTGTTCCTGAAGAGAGCCACCCCAGAGAAGCAGCACGTCCAGCAGTGTTTGCCATCCCAGTCACCATCAGCTGGGCACCCAAGCTAAGGTAAGAGCACTTACAGACCAGGAGACTTTCACCGAAGAGATAGTTGTTCATTGTGTCGGCCACTATCTTGGCAACATCCTCAGACGCGAACTCCACAAAGGCATAGCCCCTGCTATTTCCAGTCTGAAATGGCAAATTCACCACAAAAAGTTGATAGTTATCTAACAAGTCATCAACCTAACATGTAATTACTTTAAATCATGCATATTAGTCCTGTATCAATTAATTTTATGGTATTTTTAAGTCCAACTTCAACTCATGTATTCCACAGCCGTATGGGAAAAAGAAAAAAATCCAAAAAAAGGTTGAATGTGCGGCTGATGTGCAGGTATTTGTGGGATTTTGGTTACAGATACGATAAATAAGTAGATGATTACTAAGACTGGAATTTACTGGATTGCAACGTTCCATCAAATAAAACTCGACAGGCCCCACAGCCCTTTTCTGATTTCAGTGGCTGTTCCATTGGCCATACATTCCTAACACCAGGATAGAGCATGCTGCACCACAAAAGTACAAGTAAGTTAGTATAACCCCTACTTTATGTGTAATAAATATGAAGAATTGGGCGTGGAGATGCATGACTGTAATCCCAGCACCTGCAGGGCTGAGGCAGGAGGAATTTGAGCTCAATTTGGGTTGCACAGTTCAAGGACAGCCTGAACTACATAAGTGAGATCCTGTTTCAAACAATTACAACAACAAAGAACAAACAAAAAAGAAACAAACTCCTGTGATCATTTTCATGTTTACCTTTGGCCACTTTCACAGCTCAGGGCAAAGGAACAGAGTGACACCACAGCGAGCAGATTTTCTCAGCCAGCCTCTTGCTAGGCACACAGGCTACAGACCTCAAACGCCCAGGTTTGGGTCCTAGCTCTGAAATGTTCTTAGGTACATGGTAAGCAATATGTAAGCCTGTTTTATTCTATCAAAGCTGACAGCTCTCCAAGCCATTTCTTTCATAAGCACTCTCATGAAGTTGCGATGCACAAAGAGTTCCTAAGAACATCTTGTCAACATTTTTGGATAGGGATAGAAATTATAATGTGATTCTGAAGACAAGAAATCACCATAAAGTCGCATGGTTTCAGAGCCAAGTGACTCATTTCTAGCAGTAGCTGTGCTACTAATGACCAACTTAAACAATTCTACAACTCTTGAGTCTCAACAGTTACCTCAAACAGGAAGATACTGGAAAAAATGAAGATGCCCCCAAATCTATTTATAATACCAGCTCTCAAAAGGGAGAGAAAGATGCAGGGGAAGAAACATGACAGCCAACTCAACGTCCTACCACTAATAAACTAGTGACGATCTTTTGAAAAGTGATTCGGGGGTGGGGGATTTAGCTCAGTGGTTCCACCACCTGCCTTGCAAGTTTGATCCCCGGTACCAAAAAAAAAA